GTTCTGTATTATGAAAAATGCTGCTGTAAATGTGAGACTTTTCTATTTTTGGCTTCTGTGGTCAAAGCAGAGCAATCTAGGCTAAAAAGTATAGACATTTTAGTGCGTTTCTTAGCATAACTCAAATTGCTTTTTAAAATAGTTGGACCAGTAGGGTATAAGTGCGTCTGCTTTTCCACAATTTCTCTAACTTTGACTATTTCCATCTTTTGTGGTCTTTGCCAGGTTAACCTGAGTTAATATGATTTGCATTTTTCTATTATTAGTGATGTGGGGCATTGTTTCTTTTAGTTATTAATAGCATTTTTATTTATTTATGTATTTGTTTAAAAAATTTTTTTATTAATTTATTTTGATTTATCAACAATCACTTCCATATGCTTTTGAGTTGAAAATTTTTCTCCCCCTTCCTCCCCCCCACTCTCCCCAAGACGGCGCACAATCTGATATAGGCTTTACATTTACATACCCATTAAACATATCTTCACATTAGTGAAGTTGTTAGTAAAAATTAAAATCAATAGGAAGAACCATCAGAAAGATGAAACAAAACTCAACAGAAGATAAAAATAAGTGATAGCGATTTGACTTCCGTAGATCTTGCTTTGGATGTGGACAGCATTTTCCATCCCGAGGCCTCTGGAGATGTCTTAGATCCTTGTAATGCTGAGAACGGTTCAGTTTAACAATATTAGTCATTGCATAACGTGGCTGTTATTGTGTACAAAGTTCTCTTGGTTCTGCTCACTTCACTCAGCATCAGACCATATAAGTCTTTCCATGTTTTTCTGAAGTCAGCCTGTTCATCATTTCTTATAGCACAAAAGTATTCCATTACATTCATATACCACAACTTGCTCAGCCATTCCCCAATTGATGGGTATCCTCTCAATTTCCAGTTCTTTGCCACCACAAAAAGAGCTGCTATGAATATTTTTGTACATGTGGGTCCTTTTCCCATTTGTTTCATCTCTTTGGGATATAGTCCTAGAAGTGCTAATTAAAAGCATTTTTAAAAGAACAGCTCGTATCATTTGACTGTTCTTCATTGGGGAATGAATGGTTCATGATATGTTGGTATTTTTTATGTATCTTGGATATCAGATACTTCTCAGATATGTTTGATGCAAAGATTTTTTCCCCAAGTCAGCAGCTTTGCTTATTCTAGGTATATTAAATTTTTTTTTGTGCAGAAGCTTTTAAATTTCCTGGAGTTGAAATTGTCTAAATTGTCTATTTTACTTCACACATTTATTCATTCATTCATTCATTCATTCATTTATTTGTTTGTTTTTTGCTTTTGGATGAGGCATTCAGAGTTAAGTAACTTGCCCAGGGTCACATAGCTAGTGTCAAGTGTCTAAGGCCAGATTTGAGCTTGGGTCCTCTTGACTCCAAGGCCAGAGCTCTATCCACTGTGCCACCTAGCTGCCCCTTGTAATTATTTCTAATTTCCTTTTATTAAATTGAAATTACCTCTTATTTTTATGTTAAAGTTATTTGAAGTTGGCTCCACCAAGTCTTGGGTTGATGAAAATCTTATGGTAAAAAGTCCTAAAAGGAGGTTTAGTTTGTATTATTAAGAGATTGTAAATGTCAAGAATCTAATGGATGAAACTAAATTCTAGATCTATATTATTAGGGCAGACCAGAGGGAATGAACAAGGTGAAAAGTTCAAGTCTAGTCAAGGTCAAACAAAACAGACAGAAGTAGAATTCATGTATGTAAATGGGTTTTAAAATGAACATGAGACAATAGCAATCAGGGAACTAAGTTTAAAATACATAGGATTATAGATTTTGAGTTGGAAGGGATCTTATAGGCTATTGAATCCACTTTCCTCATTTTGCAGGTGAGGCAGAGAGAGGTTAAGTAATATGCCCAGGATCACATAGCAATTAAGTGTCTGAGATGAGATTTGAATCCTAATTCTCCTGACTCTTAATGGCAGTGCCATATCTACGATACCATGCTGGATATCTCATTGTCCAGTATGGGCAGTTGGGTCCACACAACATCATCAGGTCATGAGATAGGCAATGCCAACCCTCTGCTTGGGTTTTTTTATTGGTGCATTTAATTTTGACACATCAATCACACTCCAATATTCCTTACTTCCATTCCCCATAAAGACCTTTTTATTAAAAAAACATGCTAAGCAAAACTGTTTAATGTGGCATTTGCAACTGATAGCGTATCTAACTTCCTGCCCTTGTAGTTTACCATTTGCATCTAGAACTAACATTGGTCATTATATTTTAAATGAATTCTATTTTTGTGTATATTTATCCTTGGAGTCTGTCTTTTAACTTTATATTAGTTCGTATTAGTCTTCTAAGCTTCTTTCAAGATTTAATATTTATCATTCTTTACATTTATTTACCATGCTCTGTTCAGCTACTCAGTTGTTTGTCACAGAGTTAGATTACAGCTGTTTGTTACTATAAATACTGCTGTTATGAATATTTTGGTGGTTCTGTTTTTAATCAGTCTTCTTGATGGATAAGATATGGTAGAAAGTGTGCTGCTTTCCAAAGTGGAGCAGAGTTTCACAGATGTATGTAGCTGGTGATCCCAAAAGAGACAAAAAAGTTCTCATGTGACCTCTCCTATTCTAAAAGTAGCTAAACCCTGATTGTATCAAAACTTCATTCTTGGCATTGGTCCAGTTTTTTTTTTCACTTTTGTTTAAAAGGAAAAAAAGAGTTCCATGATACCCCTGTATGCCTACACCTTAGGCATTTACAGGTCCAATTTTTAGTCTTCAAATAAGATGTTCTGCTTTTGCTGTCCCTCAGATAAAATAGGTTACAGCATTTTGTCTCTTTTGATGGGAACTTAACTGAATAAAGACTCCCCCAGCTTGGCAGTTGGAAATCCTAGTTCCACTCGAATGTTAGCTTTCGATTTCTTTTTGCTGTCGTTACCTAAGTGTTAAAAAGAGTAATAGTGGGTGAGGAAGAGAAATTAGCATTCTTAGGTATCTTAAGCTTTTCCTCCTTTCTTTTCTGGCAATATTTCCCTTATCCGCCATTAAGTTCAATACAGACCAATCTGTATAGCTTGTGTGTAGTTTTAGCATCAGGCATTTCAAGATACAAATTTGAAATAAATCACATTGACACAATTTTAAATCATTAAACAGTTCTACTTAGGAATCCCCTCTGAAACAGAGTTGAAGATTAGCTTAATGGAAGTACTTTTTCTCTGTTACCAATCTCTTTGCTCTCATCTCCATCTGCCTCAGCATTACCTCTGTTATCTCTTATTCTATCCATCCTTCCCTCATAACTTCAGGAATTCTGTTATTAATAAACTGCCTTTTATATTAGCCCTCTTCTCTCCTCCAGTCTTTTTTCAATCACAGAAATCTTGCTGTCCTATAAGACCTTGCATCCCTGCTCTCTCAAGTGTTTCTCTCATGCTTCCAACACATCTGTTATAAGCTTTCTTTTTTGTCGTCAGGTCTCCTACACCATCCTCTTTCTCTTCTACCTCAGTAGAGAACCTTAGTGAGAACATTGAGACCATCCCTTGTGAGCCCTCTTTTCTTCCCATTTCTAAATTCAGATCCCCTTAACATTATCCTTAGAGACTAGAGCAAAGGAGAAGAGAATGAGGGAAGAGGTGGTTTTTCTCTTGCCAAGGTGAACTATTCTACTTGTCCTCTTGATCCAAATCCTTTCTCTTCCAGCAGCTTGCTCCCTTGAACAGCACCCTCCTCCCCCTTTAATAATTTTCCATTATACTCTTTATCCACTAACTCATTTCCTACTGCTTATAAACAAACTCAGATCTCCTACTTAAAAAAAAAAGAAAACAACCCTTACTTGACCCTTCCATCTGCTCAAGCTATCTATACATACTTCTCTTTTCCCAGCCGCATTCCTGGAAAAAGCTGTCTATTTGTGTTGCCTCCATTTCCTTATTTTCTATTCATTTTTCTGCCCCTTCCATTCTGGCTTCTTATTTAATCATCCAGATGAAAGTAGGGGCAGGAGTTTTTAGCAGGAGTTTTTAACCTGGGTTTCATAAACTTAAAAAAAAATATTTTAACTGTATTTCAATGTAATTAGTTTCCTTTGTAATCCTATGTACTTTATGTATTTACAAATATTCTGAGAAGGTATCCATAGGTTTCACCAGACTTCCAAAGGGGTCTATAACACACAAAAAAGGTTGAGAACCCATACTCTTAGGGTTACCAACAACTTCTTAGCTGCTAAATGCAATGGCCCTTTCTCAGTCTTCATCCTTCTTGATCTTCCAGCAGTGTTTTAGACTGTTGACTACCCTACCCTAGCATAACTCTTTGTACATGGTATCTTAGTCTGAATATAGATTGTACCTTTTCTCCAAATCTGACTTTAATTGAGTGTATAAGCAATATTATTTTTTTGTGCATATTTACAAATTTCCTTTCCTTTCAGATTGGTACCTCTGAGACTGATAAGTCTCATTGATAAATTGTGTGACAAGGGTAAATCCTTTAATCCTCTTTGAACCTCAGCTTCCTCATCTATGAAATGAGATAATGATAATTTTTATCTCTAAGTTTTAAGGATCAAATGAGATAATGTATGTAAAGTGCTTTGCAAACTTTAAAGTGCTGTGCTAATGTTTGCTATTGCTATAACTTCATTTTATTTTATTTTATTATTTTTTTAGTATAACTTCATTTTAGGAGTATCATCTGTATTAAGAAGATCATATTTAATGCTAATGACAACAGGTACTCAAAAATATTTATTGGTTTGAAATAAATTTCCCAGAATTAAATTGTATTGAGCCTAAAAGTTGTGTTGATAGCTCCTAAAGTTGTTAGGATATTGTGTGATATAGCTTTAATTTAGAATTTGAATTTCCTTGAGATACTTTTTATGTCAAGAATTTCTGAACAAAATGAAGAATAAGTACAGTTTTTATTGAAAATTATAAGACTTCATTTTCACGTGATAATGAGGATAAGTATTTTTTTTTGTTTTTATTTTTCAAACAGGTCAGAAGACATCTCTGACACAAGAAACAGAACTTTTGGAATCTCTACTCCAAGAGGTAGAACATCAGGTAATTAATATATGGTATATTAAATATTGGAAACTAGATGAATTCTTTATTTTTTGTGCTAAGTATGGAATCAGGCTTTTAACTTAAAGGTTCTAAGTCAGTATATATGACCTTGTTAATATGCACAATCAAGTCAGTGTGTATGTGGAAAATGCATTTAACTTGACATACTGGTTTTCTGGTAGTGACTGTTTGCCTTATTCTAATGTTTTTAAGAATTCTAATCAACCAGGGAATTTGTTTAAATGACTTTTTGGTGTGTTTAATATGTTATTAGCTTGGATGTCTGCCTTAAGTTTACTTTAAAGCATTTTACTTTTGTTCCAGTTTCCTTAACTATAAAATAGGGATCATTCCTGTTTTTATTACCTAATTAGAGATTGATTAAATAATGCTTTTTGTTTACTCTGATTTCTGATTTTTAAAAAATTGTCTTTCCTACAGCTACGTTCATGTAGTAAGAGTGAATTAATCTCTAAAAGCTCAGAGATCCTCATGATGTTTCAGCAGGTTCATAGAAAGCCTATGGCATCCTTTGTTACAACTCCAGTACCACCAGATTTTACAAGGTATGGCATAAATTCTGAATCTCCTTGACTTTATAAGTTTCATTTCAAATGTTAGTTTTTAATTTAAAAGCTTCCAATTGATTTTCTTAATCAGTCCTAACTTGCTTAATATTTCATTGTGACATGACCAATGTAATGTTCTTATAAAGATGCTCAGGTTTTTCTTCTAAAAACAACTTGGAAGGCTTAATCAAGATTTAGCCTGCAAATTAAGTTGATACTAACTAAAGGGACATCCCTTTCTCTGGTGCTTTAATCAGAAGAAGTAATGTTATTTGATCATTCTTCATCAGAATGCTTTCATCTGCCTTGTCACAGTGTTTGTTATCTGTTTTTTCTTAGCAGAGCAACTCATATGAACTACTGAAGAAAGTAGTTTTATTAACACCATCTCTCAAATGAGATGTGCCACATCTTTGGCAAAATCTTGGCCTAGCCTTCTGTGTAGGTCACTGAATAACATTTGTATTTAGGCGTTTCTGTAATTGAAGTCATAATACCTCAGATAAAATTTTTTCTCCAGGTTAGATATGAAGATAATCCAGGGAACATTATCTAGTTTTCTCTCAATTGTATATAATAAGCCCTTGTTCGTTATGGATGCATTTCTGAGAGCCATGATGAACAATGAAACGTAAGTAGTACAGTAATACCCAGGATGTATTTCAGTCTGAGTTGTTAAAGAAGGAGCTGTTTTCAGTATATTCAATTAGCAAAATAACCTGGACACTTTAGCGGAGCTAGATACTGGCAGCAGTTAAGCAAATTCGATTTCCTAAAGAATTTCACCAACATTTTAAAGCTATCCTACAATGATATGGTGGTTAGCCAGGTCAAATTAGATGATATCTTCTGTGACCCATTCTCTTCAGACAATTAAGAAATCTGTTATCAAATTTTTAGAATATATGTATATTTTCGGGGCAGCTAGGTGGCATAGTGGATAGAACACCTGCCCTGTATTCAGGAAGACCTGAGTTCAAATCCAGCCTCAGACACATAACACTTACTAGCTGTGTGACCCTGGGCAAGTCACTTAACCCCATTGCCTAGCCAAAAAAAAAAATGATGATAATAATAATAATAATAATAATAATAATAATAATAATAATATAATATATATATTTTTTTCAATGCAAAAATCAGACTTCTTTGTCTTCTACCACTCCCCTCCCCCTGTTTGAGAAAGAAAGAGAAACAAAACCCCTATTACAAATATGTATAATCAACCAAAACAAATTTCTGTATTGGCTGTGTTGAAAAAAACGCATGTCTCATTCTGCCTGCTAAGTTTTTCACCTGTCTGCTAGGAACCATGGGTAGCATGTTTCATCATTATTTTTTAGGAATTGTGGTTGATCATTACTTTGATCAGAGTTCCTAATTTTTTCAAAGTTTTTTTAGCTTTGCCATGTTGTTGTCATTGTATAAATTATTCTACTGGTTCTGTTCACTTCACCTCGTATCAAATTCATGCAGGATCTACCAAGTTTCTCTTAAATGATCCTCTTCATTACTTTGTATAGCAAAATGGTATTCTGTTACATTTATATACCTTCACGTGTTTAACTATTCCATAATTTTTAGACCCTCCTCTCAAGATTTCTTTGCCACCTGAAAATGAGCTATAAATACTTAGAATTGTTTTAATTCTTTAATCTATCCTTCCTTTCATTTTTTCTTCTTCTCTTCCCTATTATTTTTCTCCTGAGATAAGTGTGTTTCTGTACACAATTCTGTGTGTATATCATTCCTGTGTTTGAACTTTAAAGTTTCTAAACTGCTTAGATCTTTTCATCAAGAATGCTTAGAAGTCCACTATATTGGTCCATTTTTTTCCCTTTTAGGGTTTAGGATTATACTGTCTTTTTCCGGATAAGTTATTGGCTACACAGACACAGGCAGACAGACAGACAGACACACACACACACACACTCCCCTTTGCTTTCTGGAATATTGTATTCCAAGCTTTCTACTCCTTTGTAGTTGATGACTTCTAAATTGTGTGTTCTCCTGACTGGCTCCTCAATACTTGAATTTCTTCTTTCTAACCGATTGCAGGATTTTAAAATTGTCTCAGAAGCTCTGGATTTTGGCTATAATTGTTCCTTCACGTTTTCTTTCTTTCTTCCTTTCTTCTTTCTTTCTTTCTTTCTTTCTTTCTTTCTTTCTTTCTTTCTTTCTTTTTTCTTTCTTTCTTTCTTTCTTTCTTTCTTTCTTTCTTTCTTTCGTGGTAACTGATTTGATTCTTTGTTACCACATTATCCTCTGGTTCTTAGAGTTCTGGGCAGATTTCTTTTAAGATTTCTTGTTTAGGTTCTCTTTTTGGTCATGGCTTTAAGGTAGTTGATTGATTCTTAAATTTTCTTTCTCCTTGATCTGTTTTCTAGGGTTTTTGCTTTGAGAGAAATATATTTTCTTCTATTTTTTTTTCAGTCTTTTTACTTTGTTTTATTGTTTCCATTAGCTTTTTTGGCTGCTTGTAGTACTGTTGACTCATTGAGTTTACATTACATTAAAACCCCCACAAAGAATGGCAAGGTTGACCAAGGTGGGAGCTCGGAGGTTGGAGCAGGGACAAAGGCAGAGAACTCACCAGAGGAGGGGAGGTCAGACTTTGGAGAAATAAAGGCGTCTGGTCCATTCCTGCTGGAACCAGAGAGTCCAGTGGCCCAGTTCCATATCCAATCCCAAACAGAAGTTTAATTTCAAAGGGAGGGAAACAGCTTGCAAGCAAGGATGGAAATCAGACACATGTGCCAGGGCCCACCCCAGTGGAAAGATCTCTCTACTTATACCAGTGGCTAGGCAGTGAGCTGGAACCCTGACAATGAGGGGTAACAGCAACAATGAGACAAGTTTGATTGATAGCAGGATTTATGACTAGACTGCAGGTCCGAGCTCAGGAAATACCTGGTACTGGTCAAAGCAGTACAATAATTATGTGAAACAATTTTGAGATTTTGCTGTGGCTAAGATCATCCAAAGGGTGAACACAAAGGATTGTTGTTGCGCTAAGCTCAGGGCATAGCTTGCTTGCTGGGTCTTAGCTCTGGAGAGCAGAGTATCTTCTAATATCTTGACAGACTGCACAGTCAGTGGTTCTTATCATTGCATTTCTCCTCTCTGTGGTATCTTTTTTTTAAAAATTTTTTTCTATTCATAGCCCCTTTATTTTTAAAAATTCATTTATTTTTAGCTTTCAACATTCACTTCCACAAGATTTTGAGCTCCAATTTTTCTCCCCATCTCTCCCCTCCCCCTGCCCCAAGATGGCATGCATTCTGTATTCCCCTTCCCCCAACCTGTCCTCCATATCATACACACCCCTGCCCCCCACCCCTCCCCTCCTGCCCCTCTTCTCTTATTTCCTTCTCCTATTTTACTGTAGGGTAGGATAGATTTCTATACCCCATTGCCTGTATATCTTATTTCCCAGTTGCATGTAGAAACAATTTTTAACATTCATTTTTAAAACCTTGAGTTCCAAATTCTCTCCCTCCCTCCCCACCCACCCTCATTGAGAGGGCAAGCAGTTCGATATAGGTTATACATGTGTAGTACATATGAGAGAGAATACAACTGTTCAGGCTGTCTTGTTCTGTAAATTTGTTTCACTCTGTCTTTTTGTGGGTTCTTTTGCTTTAGAATTTGTTTAGAGCCATTTTTTACAGGTATTTGGAGGGGTTTGGGTGAGAGCTTAGGCAAGTCACTGCTTTTACTTTGCCATCTTGGCTCCGCTCCCCCAATTCATATTTTTCTTGGAGGCTTTGGATGTAGGAGCTTTGACTTTTGTTATTGTCTTCTGGTTGTATGTTTTGATCTTCTTTGTCACCAAAGTAAGATTCTATAGTCTGAATTTTTTTTGTGCTGTTTGCTCATGTTCCCAGCGAATTATTTAACTTTTTAACTCTTTGTTAAGGTAGGGCTCTGCTTCTAGTGTGGAGGGTGTACTGTCCCAAGCTTCAGGAGTTTGGTGCAGCTGTTTTCAGAGATACTTCTAGGCACCTGTAAATTTTCAGTTCTTCCAAGGTGGTATGATCAAAGGCGAGGTGTTTACTCCTTTCTTGGCCTGTGCTCTAGTCTGTGAGTGACTATAAGCACTCTTTTCTGTCTTTGAACTGTGAGGAGGATTCTCTCTGCACTGCCACCATAAGCTCCACCACACCCAACACTTCTCCTTGCCCCAGGACCACCACCCAGGACTGTGACCCAGATCCAGGCACAGGCAAAGCAAGGGAATCCCATCTCGGCACCAACAAAGAGATCCCTTCAATTCCCCTCTGATCAGCTGCTTGATCCCCCCACTGTCTGTGGGCCTAGAGCTCTGGAAGCAGCTGCTGCTGCTGCCACCATTTCAGGGCTGGGGCCAGGGCCAGACCAGGTTCCTCTCTCACCCAGGTCTGACAGACCTTTCCTATTGACCTTTTAAGTTGTCTTTGGTGTTTGTAGATTGAGAAGTCTGGAAACTGCCACAGCTGCTTGTGATTCAGTCCTCTGAGGCCTGCTCAAGGTTTGCTGAGGCATGGTCTTTGCTTGCATGGTTCATGTTGAACTGCACTCCTCTCCCAGCCTGTTCAACAGACCTTTCCCATCAACCATCTAGGTTGTCTTGGGCTGCAGGGCTACATATTTGTTTTGCTTTGTATTTTTGTGGGTTCTGCTGCTCTAGAATTTGTTTAGACTCGTTTTTTTACAGATATTTGGAGGGGTTTGGGGGGGACAGCTCAAGTAAGTTTTTGCTTTTATTCCACCATCTTAGCTCTGCCCTCTGTGATATCTTTTTATCCTTCAGCGTCCCTGAGCAGTTGAGGGTTACCATCTGCTTTTTCAGATAACTTTTTTGCCTTTAAGCTTTTACTTTTATTAAAAAAGAACCACTTTTGTTTTTTTTTCCTGATAATCTGGAAGGTGGAGGCATGTTTTTTCAGCCCTTTGCCCTTTTCTAAGAGACAGCCTTCCTTTGGTACATTAGATAGTAGTCTCTTAGCCATGTCAGA